GTTTTTCGCTTGGATACCTCAGGGTATCCTTTTAATATTTCGGCCTCGAACTCCGCGACAGTTTTCGTGTCGTCGGAATAGGTATCGAGACCTTCCCATACGTCCATCACTTGCCGCAACGGCAAATAACAAATGTACATGCTTTTCGCTTGTTTGACATCTGTGATGCCACCATCCTCCACGATCTGCGCGCAGTGACGCAAATATGCCTCAATCGACAGGGGATCCTTTTCATCAAGTATAGGTCTACTTGTGTCCCAAGGTTGAGGGATTTTGAACCCAGTCTTTGGAGCCATAGTTGTCGCGACTGAAGTCACAGGGGAAGTAGGGATGTTGTTAGAATTCGTGTTTGTAGCGTTGACGCTACTAGACAATTCTGAGAGGGTTTGTGAGCTAGTCTGAGATCGACTGATTGTCGTCGAACTCGAAGTAGCCGCGTCTAAAGCTGGAAGCTTCGACGTCGAATCCACTCTTTGTTTCCCTTTTGCCTTGGAGGGCAAGGGTGGTAGATACAAAGGTGTTTTATGTCTTGCAGACCTTCGTGGTTTTTCGAAAGGTCCTGAAGTTGAAGCGTTTCCTTCAGTCTCAATCTCCGCTTGGTCCTCGAGAGGTCGCGCAGGAGCTTGGGATCGAAATAAACTGCTTCGCGGGATAAACCCTTGGTCTCTATCCGACGTCGCGGTAAAGAATCCGGTTTATTGATTTTTAAAGTTTATGAAACTTTAGAAGCCCCTCGCGGTGGGCTCCAGATGAAATGCTGAGGGCGCGCTCACAAGTGAATCTACTATGAAAGTAAACCCAAATATAAACACGTTCACACTCCTTGTAATCAGCTTCTCAGTGTGTGAAAGATGCGAGGGCTTCGGGGTGGACAGAGCACCAGTATCACAACTCTCAATAGACGCAGATCCAATAGTCGCGGAAGACAAAGTCGACGACAAGGATATATATATAGTAAACAATGGTGTCTCAACCAATATCTTCTATACGAACACAACCAACACTAATCCAATCCACAACCAACAATATAACAAGTCAGAACTTAATACGAAGTATTAAGATCCCTTGTAGCGACAGCGTCCAGATGGTGACGCAAAGCCCAAGTATCAAGTCGACGCACTGCCAAACAATGCAACCAATATACTGAGTCGACGCACTGCCAACTAGTAAACCAAAATGTCAAGTCGACGCACTGCCAACTGACACAACCAAAAGTACTGAGTCGACGCACTGCCAACTAGTAAACCAGAATGCCGCGTTGACGCACTGCCAACTAACAGCCAATATCCAATGTCCAAAACCCGAGCACAACTTGTCGACGCACTGCCAAGCAAGAAGTGTGGAACCAAAGTTCTCAAGTCGACGCACTGCCAACTGACCAAAACAACCCGAGCACAACTAGTCGACGCACTGCCAAGCTAGAGGTGTGGAACGATCTCAACAAAGCCCGAAGGCGACGACACTAAATGCCGCGACTAAACCAGATGCGGCGAATCCGACTTTCTGATGTCTCAACTCAAAACTCAAATCACAGTAGCTACAAGTGCTCAGGGAGCAACTCGTCGCGACCGGGCAGGGGTAGCAGAACTTCTTAGGGTGGAATCACGCGGCACGCAAATTGTACAAAACAATCTGATATGAGAGTGATTCACAGTCCAGGGGAAAGCTTCCTAATACAAAGAAACGTTGTGCTACTTATACTGTCTACGACGATGCTTAGTAAAGTCCTGTACAACTGCATAGTAGCTACGCTATCTAAGATCGGTTGCCTTTTAGGGTAATTGAAAAGTTGAACGATCGGACAGGTCCTGAGTGATCAGGACCCCGCCCCATTGTCCATATGATACTTTTGATGTGGGTCAACCCACCGCGTCATACTTTGGAATACGACGTGCTGGATTGGCCAACGGGTATGTCTTGGCAAGTGAGACCAACGTGGGCGCCCCAAGAAGCCGTATGGCCCTAGGCACGCCAGTCGTCCCCCACATGGTTCGGTTCACGGATCTTACCGTGTCGGTTTCTAGTGTGTTTGGGTATGGGCGCGACTCGCCGTGACACTTGGAAGTGTCACCGCGACGCGTCCACAATGTCCCGTGATTGAATGGATCCTGACATGTGACAAGTCGTCGTCGTGGCATGATCTGAGGAAACGTCCAACTCAAAACTGGGAGTTGCCGCGACAAGATGGTTTAAGTCTCGTAACGCCAAGTCCTGTCCAGTAGTAGTTCTATTATTGAGAACGTCGCGCATTGCTCAGCCCTTCAGCCCAAGTTCCCATCTGCAGAGAATGACCCTTTTTGAGAAGTCGACGCAACGACAGATCCCTTTGTGGGGAATGGTCGCGGTCCAAGCGTTCGTCACTAATGGCCCTGAGCCTGGTGTAGACTCATAAGACCAGTTCCACAGTAGTGGTCTGACTGCCTTGCTATCGTCGACACTACCCACAGTCGTCGACTGGGCAGTAGACCCATAAGTCCTACTGAGCGCAACACTGTCAACCGCGACACGATACACCGAGTGGTTCAAGAGTAAACTCTGTAAAAGCGCAAAAATACGCCCTTACAGAGCTGGTGCAGAGCGCGTCTGGTAGCCAGCCTATCACCGTTACCGCTGCTCTCCGAATTAGTTCACAAGCTGTGCGGTGCCAAGTTCTTCACAAAATTAGACATCCGATGGGGGTATAACAATGTCTGGATCAAGGAGGGCAACAAATGGAAGGCTGCATTCTGCACAAACCAGGGCCTATTCGAACCCTTAGTCATGTTCTTTGGTCTCACCAATTCGCCAGCAACGTTCCAGAACATGATGAATGACATACTACAGGAACTGATCAACGAGGGCCACGTGGTAGTTTACCTAGATGACATACTGATTTTCACAGAAAACCTGGCTGAACACCGGTGGATCACAAAGCGGGTACTCCAACAACTCCAAAAGCACAAGCTGTACCTGAAGCCCAAAAAGTGCGAGTTTGAACGCACAGAAATCGAATATTTGGGTGTGATTATCGGACACAATTCGATGCGGATGGACCCAGTCAAGATCAAGGGCGTGATGGAATGGCCGGAACCAAAGAGCGTCAAACAAGTCCAAGCGTTTCTAGGGTTCACAAACTTCTATCGACGCTTTGTCCGGGGATACGCGGAGGTCGCCAAGCCGTTGACATGGCTGACAGGGAAGGCAGGATGGTCATGGGGTATGGATGAGGGTGCAGCATTTGATGGGTTGAAGAAGAGAATTGCGGAGGATGCGGTCTTAGCACTGCCAAACGACACCGGCCAATATTGTCTGGAAGCCGATGCTTCGGAAGGGGCAACAGGATCCGTCTTGAGCCAAAACCAAGACGGCATTTGGCGCCCAATCGCATTTATTTCGCACGCATTGACTGAAACCGAGCGGAAATAACGAGATCTACGACAAGGAAATGCTTGCAATCATGTTATCGCTTGACGAATGGAGGCAGTTGCTCCTGGGAGCCACCGAAATGTTCGAGATCTTCACCGATCATCAGAATCTCGAGTACTTTTGGACGCCGCAGAAGCTCAATCGACGGCAAGCACAATGGATTACAGAGCTGGCAGAGTTTGATTTCACATTATGACACCGGCCCGGCGCACTCAACCGCAAGGTGGATCTCTTATCTCAACGAGCAGATCAGGATCAGGGCAAGAACGACAACAAGGATGTCACTCTGCTGAAACCCGAATTCTTCCGATCACAAGAAGTCACATTCGAGGGGCAGGATCAGCAGCTAATCAATGAGATCAAGGCCACTCGATCAATTGATGGAAGCGTCAAGGCAGCCTTGGAGAAGTCACTCACTGGATGGAAAAAGGAAGACGGGCTCATCACGTACCATGGAAAGCTCTACGTACCAAGGGACAAGGAACTGCGAGACAAGATCATCGGGCTACACCATGACACACCCTTGGTCGGACACGCTGGGATCAATCGAACACAGGAAATGGTGGAAAGGAACTACTGGTGGCCAAGGATGGGGAACCAAATCCGGAAATACATCCAGACGTGCGAGGCGTGCCAGTGGACCAAGACCAGGAGAGCAAGGACAGGGACTCTGCACCCGCATGCAGTCCCAAATGCGCCGTGTGAAATCATCTCCATGGATCAAATCGGACCCCTACCGGTCAGTAACGGGTATGACGCAATTCATGTGTGGTGTGACACCTTCACCAAAATGATCCATGTCGAACCAATCAGTACTGACATCAGCAGTGAAGGAGTCGCACGATTAACCAGGGACCGAGTCTTCCGCTACCACGGGATCCCCCGCAAGATCATCACCGACAGGGATTCGCGTTACATCAAAGGCTTCATGAAGGAAACAAATCGGATGTTGGGCGTGGAAATGAATCCGGGGACCGCATATCACCCGATCACAGATGGACAAACGGAACGCATGAATCAGGAGATCGAGCACTATCTCCGCATCTACGTCAATTACCATCAGACGGACTGGTCGGAGTGGCTAGGAATGGCGGAGTTTGCATACAACAACAAGATGAACACGTCTACCAAAATATCACCGTTCTACGCCAATCACGGATATCACCCATGGAAGGGAGTGGAACAACGGATGGAATCGAGGAACGAGTCGGCGGAGGAGTTTGTAAAAAGAATCAAAGAAATACAAGACGAAGCAAAAGCAGCATTGGAAAAAGCAAAAGAAAAAATGAAAAATACTACGATAAACAAAGAAAAGAAGTTCCGGAGTTGAAGGTTGGGATGAAGGTGTACATAGAAGGGGAAAATATCGAGACGGATAGACCATCAAAGAAGATGAGCGACAAGAGATTAGGACCATACGAGATACTGGAGAAGGTTGGAGCAGCCGCATGGAAGCTAAGACAGCCGACATCCGGATCCATTGAGTCACGTGAACTGTTACATGTCACGTGTCACAGCGCAAAATCTCAGAGACCATTCACTTCATGCACGGCGGGAGGTTTTACGGAGTAACATGAGTCATTTTCATGAATAGACTACAGCTGCTTTGCCCTAAACTCATTTTCCACATCCCTCAAGTAATCTGCAGGTAAGGTCCGATGGCCTCTGTATCGTTTGTTTGTCCAAGCCGCCTCCGCTCTGTTCAGACCGTGGAAATATGCATCAGCAAAGCGAGAAGAACATGTCACAAACCGCTGCATTGACTCCAAGGGGACAGATTCGAGAGCCTCGTTGACATTGCGAGTTAAATCAGCTTCCTTGGTGGACTCCGGAAACATGCGATAGACTCGTTTTGCATACCCCCAACATTGCTCGATAAAATTGAGCTCGGGGTGGTATTTTGGGAAAAAGATGACTTCATAACCTCGCACCTCGCAGTGTTCCTCCAGTTGAGATTTCTGAGCTTGAAAATCTGGCTCGCAGTACAGAATCTTCTTCAGGCAGCAAGATCGGGAGTCTTCGTAACGGCATTTGAAGTTGTGACACTCCAGATGCAACTTCTTGTTGTTAATCGGGTTCCGCGCGTCAAGATCAGGAAGATCATGGCCCTTTGCACGTCGTTCCATGATTAGTGTCTTCGCGCCCTTGAACCTGCCATTGGGGAGGTAAAGCGATTGCGGAGAATTATCCTTGAACCTGCCATCGCACATGCGGACAGTTTTCGCGACACCATTGACTTTGGTCTTGTTGAAGTTGGCAGAGGGCCCGAGAGTGACTTTGAGGGCGCTGAGAGCATCGGGAGCGCGGGCAGTGTGGATTTTCGCGTTGTCATATGCAAACACATGTTTCTCCCTGGGATAGTCCCGGTCCAGAGTATTCATCACGCGCGTTGCCTGAGCCAGAATGTCTTCATTGGTCTGATATCCGTCCCGAGCCTTTCCTGGACAAAGGGCAACCTCTGCGTCGTCCATGGATCTGTCGAAGGTCAGATTAGATTGACACACGGAGATCAGGCTTACCCATCCGGTCCCGCCGTCTTTGCTTTAAGCCATCCGTAGTCCAGAGAAACGAAACGACCAATCATCAGGCTCACACCCTCGCCTTTGGCCTTGATTTTTGCCCCCTCCGTCTCGTGAACCCAGCAGATGGTGCGGTGGTCATTGGCATAGAAAGTCGATTCGTCGTGTCTCCAGATCACAACAACACGCGCATCTTGATCATTTCCCAGGAAGGCACGCATTGCTGCGTCGTGACTGATTGATTGCTCACTGTGCCCCTGTGTCCACCACCGTGTCCTGGCCTCCAATTCCTTCCACCGTGGCAGAAAGACGTGTTGGCAAAAGTGCACAACATCGGATCGTTCGTGCCCATTGGAGTATTGGCCCTTGACTTCCTTCTTCCACCGATAACCCATCCTTTTCATCCATTGTTGCGCTGTTCGTTCGGTGATACAGCGCTTGACATGCAATCGCGCTTGGAACTCCGGAGTGGCCACATAACGGACGATCTGCTTGGCCGAGACCCACTTTCCCAGACTCTGCAAGTGAAGATGGATGTCTGCAGCAATGTCTTCGTTGGCGAGGATGGCGGACGTGAATTGACCGTACAGGTGCGTCGGCAGCTTTGAGTCTTCGCAGAAATCTATCGCCCATTCCCGCAGTTTACGTGCCATCCAAGTCTTGGTCCCCTGCTTCCCACTCGAACTCGCGATCATCTCCGAATACAGCGACCATCCTGAGTAACCAGCGGCACGATACAGACGTAAGAAGTGAATTACGCATTCCATTCGTGCATAGGTGACCAGGTGTAAGGGCAACCTCGAGACCCGATCTCAGAGTTCTGGCAAGGGAGAATCCAAAGTGTCAATAGTGGTAGCTAGGTACAAGACCGGCATACCTGGCAAGGGAGAATCCAAAGAGAAACCGTGTTGGGGATTCTCCTTGCCAGGCGCCACTATTTATATGATACAAGAACAATAGAGCGCGCAGCGACAAACAAAGAACAATGGGAACAATAAGTACAATGGCCATTGGAGAACAATAGGAAACCGAGACAGTGGGAACGATGGGACAGCTGACCATGTGCCCATCAGAGAGAAGCGCTTGGCGCGGCAGTCCGGGCCGCGGCGCGTGACAGCTGACAGGTCACGCAAGCGCGATCACATGCCTGATCGAAGGCAGAGCGGTCCGAAGCGGGGGTTCCCCTGACATCACCCCCCCCTTGGATTGCGGCGCCTCGACGCAACGTGCGGATGGTGGCAGAGGGGTGCTGGAACGGAAGGGAGTCGAAGATGGCGGCGGCAATGATGCGTGGCTTGTTGGGGTGTTTGCGGTAGAATGCCGCTATAGCGTCCTCTGCGAAGATATCAGAGTGCTTAACCCACTGGTCGTGCGACGAATCGTAGCCCTTCCACTGCACGAAGTACCAAATGCTCTGGTAGCGCATCTTGGCGTCCAGGACCTCTTCGACTTCCCACTCCTCGCCAGCTCCTTGGCCCATGACGGGTGGCGGCTCCTCGCGAGCCGGGCGTGTTGGGAACGGGTCGTCCTCAACGAGCTGCAGCTTGACAACGGGGAAGACCGGGTGAAGACCAGAGAGGCGGCGAGGGAGGTCAAGCTTGTAAGCACCGCGCCCAACAACCTGGGTGACTTTGAAGGGACCCAGCCGTCGGTGAGAGAGTTTGAGGGACGGGCGTGTTGTTGCTATGTCAGAAGCGTCAAGCCAGACTCGATCTCGGACCTTGATGTCTGGAGCTGAGACCCTCCGGCGGTCGTAGTACTGCTTGTACTCATCCTTTGCCTTCACCAGTGCCGACTTGGCTTCTGCCACTCCAGACGCGATGCGGTCGCGGAAGTCGTTTGCCGACTCGTTCACAGCTGAGCGTAGTCCATTCGGTTCGAAGCCCATACGAGGGAGTCGACCGGTATCTGTCATGAACGGGACCTGCTGCGTGGATGAGTGAATGTGGTTGTTGTAGGCAAACTCTGCAGCGGGAAGCAGCTCGTCCCAATCGTCCTGGTTGTAGCTGGTGAAGATCCGGAGGAACTGCTCGAGCTCCTGGTTCACACGCTCGGTCTGGCCATCTGTCTGTGGATGCCAAGCAGTAGACATTGCCGATGAGACCCCGACGAGTTTCCACAGCTCCTGCGTGAACTCTGCTATGAACTGGGAGCCGCGGTCAGAGACATACTTAGACGGCAGCCCATGGTGGCGCCAGACGTTCTTGTAGAAAAGCCTGGCGGCACCTTCACCGGAGAGCCGGGTGTGGCACTCTATGAAGTGGCTGCGCTTCCCAAGCATGTCAACAACGACCATGATAGCATCATACCCGTGAGCGTCTGGCAGATGCACAATGAAGTCAATCAACACCGCTTCCCAGCGCTCCGAAGGGACCTCCGTGGGATGGAGTTCCCCGATTGGGAGTTGGCGGAGCGCCTTGGTTCGGCAGCACAGGTCGCAGGTGGCCACATACCGGCCGACGTGTCGAGACAACTGGGGCCACCAGTAGTTCCAAGAGATCAGCTCCAACGTCTTGAAGCGGCCGGCATGCCCTGCGACGCGGGTGTCGTGGTGCTGCTCGAGGATGCGTCGGCGGAGGTCGTTGTTGCGTGGAACCACCAGCTTGCCACAGAAGTAGAGCAGGCCGCCTTCTTTTCGCCACTCCGCAGCCCGAGCAGAGCAAACTCCACGTTCCTTGAGGAGCTCACGTGCTGCCAACACAATGGGCTCCTCCATGTCGGGGGTACCGGCGAGGGCCTCCCAGATGTCGCGCAGGAGAGGGGCCTCGGGTCCAGAGACAGTGAGACCCTCTAAGGCCCGGACATGGAACAGCTCCGGGCGCAGCAGTGTGACGTCTGCGTTGTCCGAAGCGACTCCGTGGTCGGGGCGGCGCGAGAGAGCATCCGGGCGGCCCATGAGGCAGCCAGGTTGGTGGTGCAGGGTGAAGTCGAAGCGAGACAGATAGAGGGACCAGCGGGCTTGACGACGGTTGAGATTCTGGGCCTTCCGGAAGTACTCCAGATTTTTGTGGTCGGTCCAGATCTCAACGGGGTGCTCGGCGCCCTCGAGGAAGTGTCGCCACTCCTCCAAGGCGCGGACGATGGCAAGCATCTCCTTGTCGTGGATTTTGTAGTTCCGCTGGACCTCGTTAAGACTCTTCGAGAAGAAGGCAACCGGATGCCACTTGTCATCCACGGGGGACTGCTGCGAGATGACAGCACCGGTCGCGAAGTCCGAACTGTCTGCTTCGAGGCGGTAAGACCTGGAAGCATCCGGGAGCTGCAGGACTGGGGTAGAGGTAACAGCGTTCTTCAGCGCAAGAAACGCAGCTGCCTCGTTGGCGCCCCAAGTCCATGCCACGTCCTTCTTGGTGAGGTCAAAGAGAGGACGGGCAACGTGCGAAAAATCCCGGATGAACCTCCGGTAGAAGTTAGTGAAGCCGAGGAACTGTTGCACTTCCTTCTTGTTAGCCGGAGCTGGCCACTCCGCCACACCTGCGACCTTGACCGGGTCCATCTCCACATGGTTGTGGGAAATGATCACCCCAAGGTATTCGATCGACGGCATCTCGAACTCGCATTTCTCCGCGCGAAGGTAGAGCTTGTTCTCGCGGAGACGTCGGAGGACTTCGTTCACGATTTCCCGGTGACGGTGGACATCGGAATGTGCGATGAGAATGTCGTCGAGGTACACCATAACGTCGCCAGAGAGGATGAGGTCCTGAAGTATGTCATTCATCATCGTCTGGAACGTTGCGGGGGAGTTGGTCAGGCCGAAATACATCACCAACGGCTCAAAGAGCCCGCGGTTTGTCCGAAACGCTGCCTTCCACTCGTCGCCTTGACGAATGCGCACGTTGTTGAAGCCCCAGCGAACGTCGAGTTTGGTGAAGAACCGAGCTCCCTTGAGCTTGTTGATGAGATCATTGATCAGGGGGAGCGGGTAGCGGTTCTTCACTGTCATCGCGTTTAGCGCTCGGTAATCTTGGACAAACCGTAAGGTGCCATCTTTCTTCTTCACAAAGAAGACGGGAGACGCCATGGGCGATTTTGACGGCCGAATCCTGCCAGTAGCCATGCCCTCCTCGATGAAGCTGTCGAGTTGCTTCTGTTCGAGAGGGGAGATGGGGTAGACCTTACAGTTGGTCGGCTTCGCGTCGGGAACCAGTTCGATGGCGTGATCCCAGGGGCGTCGCTCTGGCAGGTCGTCGAAGGACTCCTTGCTGAAAACATCTTCGAACTCGCGGGCCCACTCGGGGATGGTATCCCGAGGAGGTGCAGAGTTCTTAGCAAACGCCTCGGCGAGTCGCTGGGAGACGGTGCTGGTGGCTCGGATGTTTTCAGAAGGGTTGAAGCGGGTGTAAAAGATACGGTCACCGGCTTCCAAGGAGTCATCATCTTCTTCGACATCTTCAGGGTCATAATCGTCCGAGTCTGGCGAAAGCTCCGGCATCTCTTTGTCCTCGTGGTCCTCAACGTCGACAGCGCAGATGGATGGAACCGGACCTCGTCTGATGGTGCGGAGCACCCGGGCTGCGGTTCTGGCAGATCGACGTTCTTCGCAAAGTTCCTCCCGGCAGGTGGAGCAACCAGAAGGGCAACGGCTCATTTTTACCTCCTGGGTATCCCAGTTGATCTCCGGGTTGTGCTTCCGGAGCCAGGAGTACCCTAGAATGAGCTGCTGCTTGCCTAAATGGGTGACAGCAAGCTGCACGCGTTCACTGTGGCCCTGGTAACGGAGAACCACATCAGCAACTTCGCGAATGCAACCGGCCTCGTTCGGCGTGCCGTCCACGTTGTAAACGGGGATAGGCTAGGTGAGGCGACGAACGGGGAGGTGATTTTCGAGGACGTAGGCCGAGTCGACGAAGTCGGATGTGGCACCACAATCGACCAGGCCTTTGAGAGATAACTTCACTGCGTTGTCGGTGGACTCGATCTTGAGGGGGAGGTGGAGAGAATTGGCCCCGGGAGAGGCGGCAGCGACATAGCAGGAAGGGAGCTTGCGTTCCCACTTCTCCTTACGGACTCGTGGGGTTAGAGGGGGAGCAGGGTGTACGTCTATCGCTTCAACTGTTGCAGAGTGGAGGGAATTGGATTCATCATACAAACAGGAGAAACAATTACGTGAAGCGAACGAGGGCGTACTACTCACTCGTCGCTGGGGAGAAAACCCTGCTCCTCCTCGGCTGCGACGTTGGACGCATGATCCGCAACGGCTGCAGTGGTCGCGACCTGAGCAACCAACTCGGAAAGCAGATCACTCCCCAGCTGATTGATGACCTCATCAAGGACATCAGCGTGACGTATGTCAGCTGGGGTGGGGCAGTCACGGGCAAGATGACCCGGACTGCCGCAGCGGAAGCAGGTGCGTCGAATGTCACCACGGAGCCGGGCCCGGTCTACCTCCATGGGAATTGGATGGGCGACAGGGGCGGACGCCGGGCGGGCAGCAAGGGCCGGTGCTACAGCAGGGAGCACTGGGGCACGAGGACGGGGGGCAACAGCAGGCGCTCGGGGAGCAGGCGCTGCGTGGCCTCGAGAAGCTCTGGCAGCGAGTTCCGCATTGTACTGCCGGAACGCACGGACACGCCATTCGGCGTAGTCGGTGAGGCTGGGAGGGTTACCAGAGGTGGTGATGGCTTGGTTGATCTTCGGGTCCAAGCCCGTCCTATATTTGGTCACCTTGACCAAGTTGTCGGTATAACCAGCGAGGTCAAGGAGGTCGTCGTACTCGTCCGTGTACTTGAATACGTCGCGGGAGCCCATATAATACTGATGGGTTTCC